AAATGGACTTCATGGGCTACATATAACATGCCTAAATATTTTAATTTTCTGTCCTTTTTAAACGATTCGAATGTTTTTTAAATGTGATTCGAATGAGCAAAAAAAAGGGAAGAAAAATCTTATTATGCTTCTTCAATCTCTTTCTTTCTGACTTTGTCGGTTGTCTTGTACGTGTTCTTAACCTCAAAAAATCTCCAATAATTTGTAAAACTTTCTTTTTAGTTAAATAAAAATAAAACATCATCATTACAACTTAATAAAATTAATTAAAATAAATAAACAATATAAACCACAACAAATTAGTACAAAAATCACTTTAAATACATGTAAATATAAACGACGCAGAAATTCTATGACGCCCATATGGGCACCATATGGTGCCATAATCTCACGATCCAACGCCTAATATCCATTCTATCAATTCCACAATGAATATTAGGCGTTAGATCGTGAAGATTATGGTACCATATGGTGCCCATATGGGCGCCATAGAATTTCTGATAAACGACGTATATGTCACACTTAAACTCGAAAAACTCGCGTCATAACCGTATTAGTTAAAAACTATAAAATTTGGTTCGCATTAAAAATAATTTGAGTTAAAAAGATGGATAGATATTTTTAGGCTTAAGAAGATTTTATATTGGCCGCGTCATAACCGTATTAGTTAAGAAGATTTTTAGGCTTAAAATTTGGTTCGAAAACAAATTAATTGACCAGTGCAAAAATAATCGCCACTCATTATAACAAAACATATATTATTATCACGTGTTTTTTTCTGCATCGTGCCCTGGCTAACGAAAACATTTATTATCACGCGTTTTTTTCTGTATCGTGCCCTGGCATCACCGCTGTTATGTATATTATATACCACACATACTTGAGGCCAGAATCAGGTGTTCTAGTGTTCATCAGTTCAATTGGTGTTCCCTTAGTCCTTTTTGCTTTTTCTTTTTTTTTTTTCAATAAATAATATACCCAAACGGGCAAACATTTCTAAAAATGGCACAAGTTCACAATATTATGGTTTTCCCGCCTAGTTCCCGTCCAGTGACATCTGTATTTGTTTGTACGAGAAAGATCATAAATTATAACAAACCTTCTCATCGGCTTTCATCTCAACAACAATGTATAATTTCCCACGAATATGATCAGCTCGAACAATATTATCCGAATCACGGCGTTTACCACCAGCTTCAGTTTCCGGTTAGTTTTTCCGAATCTTAAATCCTATTGTAAAGAATTAATTAATAATTTAATGTTGTTATATATACATATATGTATGATTATTAGTACAGGTAAATTTTTCGACTCACTACCAACGAAAGCTCGAGGAAGTAAGGCACTTATTGTTAAAGTCGAGTGAAGGCGACTATATTGATGATCAACTAAATGATGAGGGCTTGATATTAGTAGATGCAATCCAACGGCTAGGAATCAGCCGCCATTATAAGGAGGAGATTCATGCGATTATCGACCAACATTACGTGAAGACTAATGAATTCGAATGCCGCTCATTGCACAATGTTTCTCTTTCGTTCCGATTATTGCGACAACATGGCTACCATATATCAGCTAGTAATTAATTAATTAATTAAGTACCATAATAATAAATAACCCTTTTCGATTTTCCATTACTAGCTAGCAAATTCATCGATCGTACATTAATTAATATCGATATGCAGACATCATGTTTGGCAGTTTCGAAGACGAGCACGGGAATTTAAGAGGGAAACTAAAGCAAGATATCAGAGGATTATTAGAATTATTTGAAGCTACACATGTAAGTTTCCAAGGAGAAAGAATACTTGACCGGGCACAAGACTTTAGTCGGCAACATCTGGTTAATTATGTTATGGACCATAATAAATATTGGTCGAATATCGTTCGTACGAGATTAATGCATCCTTATCAGAAAAGCATTCCAAGAATGACGGAACGTAATTTCCTAATTAGTGATTTCTACTGTAAGAACAGTGTATGGGGAAGAACATTAAGGGAGTTGGCCGAAATGGATCTTCACGTTGGACGATCCGTATACCAAGAAGAACTTGCTCGATTTTCCAAGTAAGAAAATTAAAAACCGAATCATGTAAAGTCGGAGTGTATTAAAGTTTTTGCCCTTAATTTTCTAATATAGTAAGTAATGCGCTAAATTTTGTAGGTGGTGGAGTAGCTTAGGTTTAACCGAAGAGCTTAAGTTGGCGAGAAGTCAACCGTTAAAGTGGTACACTTGGTCCATGGCCCTCCTCATGGACCATCTCGGCTTATCCGAACCCCGCCTCCAAATTTCAAAGTCCATTTCTTTTATTTACTTAATCGACGACATTTTTGATGTGTACGGAACACCACACGAGTTATCGGCCTTCACAAATGCCATCGACAAGTAATATATATAATTCAATAATGCACGACATGGACTCTCAAATGTCTTCTAACAGTCGATGTTTGATTGTACGATTGCAGATGGGATTATGCCTCCATAAATATATTGCCTAACCACATGAAAAAATGTTACAAAGTGCTTTTAGACACGACTAACGAGATAAGCCTAGCCGTGTACGAAAAGTACGGATACGACCCCATTAACGACCTGAAACAAACGGTACTTTTGTTTATATAGATGTTTTTTTAGAACTTGACATTTCACTTTCAGGTTTAAAGTGTGTATATCTGCTGAAAAAGTATGATTGTCTGATCGTTAGGTTATTTTATTGGATAAAATTTGATTGATTGTTTATTCTTACATATGTTTTCTGCGTTTTGCTTTGCTATGCTATTGCAGTGGAAAGATTTGTGCAGAGCATTTTTAGTGGAAGCAAAGTGGTTCGGGTCGGGGGAATGGCCCAATCCTGCAGAGTATTTGGATAATGGCAAGGTTAGCTCCGGGGTGCATGTGGTCCTACTCCACTTGTTTCATCTTTTGGGCCTGGGCCTGGGTAAAAGTTCGGCCCACCAAAACCGAACCTATTTGACAGTTATATCATGCGTGGCTACCATACTTCGTCTTTGGGATGATTTGGGGAGTGCCAAGGTGCCATTTATATTTTAACCTTTCTTTGTTTTTTTTTTTTTATATATCTACTCAAATAATTTATTTGCTGAACATTCAATTTCTAATTTTTTCTGACATTCAATTTCTAATTTTTTATTTTATTACATATTACATTTTATCCCAAATAAAAGTTTGAAATTTTTTGGATTTCGGTAATGTCTACATTTTTTTAATTTTTTTGTGGCATTAATAGATGGAGGGAATTCAGAGAGATTGGAAAATAGTTTTCTACTATATATATTAAAATAGATATTTTAAGGTTTAACCAAGGGTTGTTATTAAATTAACAGGACGAGCATCAAAACGGCACTGATGGGTCATATGTCGAGTATTATATGAGGGAACACTCAGATTTGACACGTGGACAAGCACGAGAGCACGTGATAAATATGATTGAAATGGAATGGAAAATTCTAAATAAAGCGTGTTTTGATCTCGACCGTTCATCGCCATCGCCGATATTTCAAGAAGCGGCTCTTAATCTTGCGAGGATGGTGCCTCTCATGTACAGTTTCGATGAGAATCAACGGCTCCCGATCCTCCACCAGTTTTTGGAGCACATGTTGTTAATTCCGGCATCCTTGATTTAACAACGTGTTTAATTTTGCTTTCAAATTGTCAAAATCATCATTATTTTAATTTATTTTTTTTATCAAACCTTATAGGAATAATAACAACAATGAAAATAATAATTTCATTATTGGCAAAATCGTGCAGTTATTATTGGCAAATTTGAAGCATTGGGATTGTAATTGTAAGAGAATTGAAAATTTGTTCTTCATGGTAAAGTAGAGTTGTTATTCAAATTTCAAACTGAACAATTTAAGAATATAAATTGGTTCGGCTTGTAAAAGATCCATCTCGACTTGTATCTACTTAAAACGAATCGAGCTCCATTATTGAACGAATCGAGCTCGATTATTGAACGAATCGAGTTGTGAAGAGCTCATCTTTTTATTTTTCATAGGTGTCCCTTTTTATTTTTCATAGGTTTCAAACAAACAGTTGAATTGAACATGTTTGTGAATGCGCAAACCGTGTTCGCAAGTTATTTTGTTTACGATTTTGTATTTGTTAAACTAGTTGAGTCGGGCTTTCATGAGTTAAAGTGAGTTGAGCTCGAGCCTGGCCGACTTTATTAGTAATCACATGTTTTGTAGTATTTTGTGGGTAGTTGGTAACCGAGCTACCCGACCTCGAGTCGTTCTCAATGGAAGACGGTTCGGAGCTTTGTTCACTACTTAGTTGTCCAAATCACAAAAATCGAGAAAATAAAAGCTAAACATGCTAATCAATGGGTTAGAAAGTGAATTAATGCTAATCGATGCTCGAAATTGAAAGCAACAAGTAAACGAGAGAATAAATCAATTAACACTACCGGAGTCTCTATGCCATCAAAGCCAAATGAAATCAACGAAGATCAATTTGCAAGTTCTAAGCACTAGGTCACTAATCCTAACCTTCTAACCTAAGTGATTAAGCTCTAAATAGAGTCCTAACCCTTAATCTAGATAGGCAAGAAATTAATCCTTACTAAAACAAGCAATAGCAATGATCAAGTCCAAACTCTCCATCCATCCTCAAGCAAACACCCAAAATTACCTTGAAAAACTTCATAAATAAAAAACGAGGCAAAAATTGAAGTAATGAGCTTTAAAAGTAAATACCCAATCTTCTATTGCGTGCTAGATGAAAATCAGAGTCAAAATCTTGGAACTTGAACAAAGTAAAATTCGCCGGAAAATAATGTCATAGAGCTCCAAGAGAGAAAATAGAGAGAAAACTAAAAACAAAATAGCTATTCCCAAAGTGAAAAAATGACAAATAAAATCTAGATAGTCCAAATGCAAAGGACCAAAATGTATTTATAGTGCAATCTAACGACACACATTAGGTGCACATACATTTACTAATTCTGCAGCTCGTAGGTTTCAAAAACAACTTCGCGGCGAATTTTGGAGTGAAGATGAACTGAAAACGCACGTTCGCAGGCCACAAAAACAGGTTCGCCGCGAGTGTGGGCTGGGTGCATGCGTCGGGTCGCGCTTGGCAGAACGCGAGTGAAAACTCTCTGCGAGTGCGCAGGGTTTTGGCTGGGGCTTGCCGCTTCGCGGAGCGCGGGTGACGATTGGCTGCGAGTGTGGCGCTGCTTCCTTGCGCGCGCGTCGCTTCGCCGGTCGCGAGTCTGGAGTCGCTGCGAGTGCCAGGGCTTGTGCTGTTGTGGTACGCGGTTCGCTAGGTGCGAAGCACCGCTCGCTGTGAGTGCGGGGTTTGGCTGTGGCGTGGCCCTTTTGCTGGGCGCGAGTGTGGACTCTCTGCGAGTTCGCTGGAGTGCTTGGACTAGACTCGTGTCTCGGAAATTTCTCGGATGGCTCGGACGAGGGTCGGACGTGGCTCGAAAATGTCTCGGAAAAAAGCTCCTCTTCCCATACTCGAGCAATACGGACCTGAACACCACCAAAAGACGCAAGAAAATACGACAAAATACAAAAACACATAACGGAAACGAAAACACATAGAACACTACAAAATGGACCGGTTGACACAAAACCGAACCTAAAAACACTGAAGTAAAACACATAAATCACACGAAAATAAACACAAAAACACAATAAACATCACACTAGTCTCAGCTCAAAGATCACTAATGGTTAAATGGTCCTAATCCTACTATTTCAAATAACTAGCTACTTTGGTACAATTTTCTCCAAAATCTAAAAAACTTGCCTACGTGTGTCGCTCTAGTTGATCGTATCACTACAAAAAAATTGTTATGTTCCAACGGAAAATCCTATGGTAATATATTCCAATAGAAATTCCAACGGATATTCCAATGGTATAGCTTCCGTTGGAATTATTCCAACGGAAATTCCAACGAAAATATTACGTTGGAATGTATTTTTCATTGAAATTTTAGATGGAATTTGATGTTTTCAATGGCTATATTTCCAATGGCTTTTTACTATAGGAATTTTCGTTGAAATATGCAATTTTTATTGGAATTTTTATTTCCACCCTCGTTGGAATCGTTAAAATTCAACAAAAATTTCAATGAAGAACTCATTCCAACGGAATATTTTTGTTGGAATTTCCGTTGGAATCCATTGAAAAAATTCCACAAGAAATAATAACATTAAAATATCTATTGAAATTGCGGCTGGAATTCTATTGAAATATATTTTTGTTGGAATTTCATCATTTTCTTGTAGTGTATATGATCATTGATGATGTGTTGTCGATACATATGGAGAATATTTCACATGAAATCAAAAGATTTTACATTTCAAAATCTCGAACAAAACATTCAAAGAGGAAATCAATCTTTTATTAGTATATTAAAAAAAAAGATACCTCCAAATAATATCATCGGTTGTATTGTTTTAAACCCGAAATAAAAAAGAGAGCGACAGATATTGTTGAAGAAAAAGTTACTTTTGTTAATCATCATAGTTATGCACTTATGCTTTATTTGTTAAAAATAGTCTCCAATAATTGAATGGGCTTGAATGAATTAGCTAAAATAGCCCAAAGATTTAATAACACAATACAAATTGGGTCAGGAAACAAGAAACAGAAGCCCATATAATATTCTGCGTGTCTAATGGTTGGATCTAGGGAAGTAAATTAA